AAACCCTATCTCAGCCCTTTACCAATGGGTAAGTCCCTTTACCGTGTTTTTCAAAAAGGCAGAAAACGCAGTGGACGCTGGTTTTTAATCAATTTATTTGTTCTTTTGGTAAATGTTTCATTTTTGAGTGATTTTTTTCAGATCAAAGTAAAATGGAGAAAAATATGAAACCTATATGTAACATGTTAGCAAGAACACAGATATGCGAATTAACCGGCGACGTAAGAATCAATGGTAAATCCGCGACGGTTCTTGCGGCCATCGAGTTTGCGTTTTCGGGAAACTCCATGTGGCGTATCAGACCTTACGCGAGAAAAGATGACCATACAGCGATGAAACGCGTGAGAGAATGGACGGTGAAATTTACTCAAAACGCGGACCAATCAGAAATCGCTTATTTCCCGCGTTGCATTACGAATCACAGCGTTCCGGCGATGCTTTTCTCTCTGGGAGGATACGTGATGAACAATTTCCACGATTTCTCCGACATTTTGATTCCTCTGTACACGACGGCTCGTAGATTCAACGGAGAGGTTCAGTTCCTGGTGACGAACAAGTGTCTACCGTGGATCAACAAATTTAAGGAAATCTTGAAGAATCTATCAAATTACGAACCGATTTACATCGACGAAGAAGACGAAACGCACTGTTTCACCAGCGTCGTCGTCGGTCTCAATCGCCACCCTCAAGAGTTAACTACCGATCGTTCGAATTCGGGGTATTCCATGTCCGATTTCCGGAAATTCCTAAGAGACACATACTCGTTGAGAAACGCCGTCGTGACAACGATACATCGGAGGAGACCACGGATTCTGATTTTGTCGAGGGGTAGATCGCGAGCGTTTGTGAACTCCGGCGAGATCGCGAGATTGGCGAGAGAAATCGGATTCGAAGTCGTGGTGGCGGAAGCGAATACAGGCGTGGCGAGTTTCGCACAAACCGTGAATTCGTGCGACGTGATGCTCGGCGTTCACGGGGCTGGGCTAACGAACATGGTGTTTTTGCCGGAGAACGCGGTGTTGATTCAGATACTTCCGATCGGTGGATTCAAGTGGATCGCGAAGCAGTATTATGAGGATCCGCCGAAACGGATGGGTCTGAGATATTTGGAGTACAAGATCGCGGCAGAGGAGAGTACGTTGGTGAAGCAGTACGGACGCGATCACGAGATCGTGAGAGATCCATCGGCCGTTGCGAAACGCGGGTATGGTACTTTTAAATCGATTTATATGGTACAGCAGAATGTGAGTATTGATATAAACCGGTTCAAACCGGTTCTTGTCAAAGCTTTTGAGTTATTGCAGTAGGTGTAAAATATACTCAGATAACATATCTGGGGATCTCATCCGTTGTCTCGAATGTAATTTTATCCACATGATTCTGTACCAACAATAGTTTCAACATTAACTAACAACAAAATCTAGTGGAGCAAAGAGTTTGGTTAGATAAGAAGTGAGAAGGTATAAAGCAAAAAGACTGACCACAATATCGTATGCTCGAACCAGTGTCAAATGATCACTGTAATTACCGGCAGAGAAATAGAACTTAGCTGCGTAGTTTGGTACCTGCAATAACATGAATCACTGAATAATAATCATCAAGATTCAAAAGCATCATAGGCATGTCTAAGATAACGGTGATAACATTCTTCAGGCATAACACGACCAGCTCTTCCTCTTCTCTGAGAGAAAAGATACAAATTATCTTAAGTCCATTTAATACCAGCAATTACCAAAAGCACTTCTTGGTTTTCTATATCTTACTTGACAAACGGATGCCTTGGAGATCCAAGATGGAAGCAGACAAGGAGTGTTGTTTAATGGCATCTCAAGACGTTTCTTTTGCTTTTCCACAAATACCTTGTCTCAGTGGCCACAACTATTTTCCTGAATCAGAAACAAAATCACTAGAAGCAACAATGAAAGCAAAGAACAGCTACACAAAACATAAATAAATAAAAATTAGGTGACAAAGCCAGCTTAAACAAGCGATGTAGTGAAATCACAAGAACTTTTAGAAATTCCGTTTACAAAATAAACAACGTATAAGTGAACAACCTGGTCAGAGCTCTCCATGGATCAAATCATCCAAGCAACAATACGTTTATGAGTTCTCCTAGAAGAGGATGAGCTTGGAGCTTAATCTTCAAATAGTTTATATCATCCCAACCCACACCAGCACAGCACCAGGGGTCTCTCCTTTGACGATGTCACAAAGCAAGTGTTCAATGAAGTTAAAATCTACTGAATCAAGACTCCAGGCTTAACCTTTGAAGCTGCTGTTTTAAGAGTAGTCTCGAGAATATCCTCCAGGAAATGGGTTCGTATGGGGTATGTAAAACTCTGTACAGGAAATTTTCACTTGAGTTACAATCATAAAACTCTGTACACATCGTATGGGGTGTCATATCCAATTACTCCTTCATGCCTTAGTTTGTAGCCAACCTTCCAAGAGTATAATAGCGCATGTCAGGCTCAAAAACAGTCTTATCAAGCTAATGAATGGCACTTTCAGGTCATGGTGTTGCAACCAAAATTGTTTCATCCCTAGAAAAAGACATGACTTGAATAAGTGGAAACATTTGTGTAACAGTAAAATTGACTAAACAAACCCCAACTGCTAAGGACCAGAGACTGATGGGAACTTACATTTTCTCCTAATTGTTCCCCTGCAACTCGTTAAGAAACAGATATAGCGGATATTTTTCAAGGCTGTGTACAGATGATCCTGCATGAAGCTCCATGGGAAGCCAAAAGTAACCTCAGAATTAAAGGAGATTTCTCACCTCATAACAGGACACACAAACATCCCTATGCAATCCCATTCTTGATGCCACCTCTGAGACACCAATTTCTTTGGTTTTGAGAAGAGTGAGAAATTTTAAACCCCATTGATTAATCTCACAATCGGTCTGCAATAACAAGTACATGGTACATAAAAACAACCCATTAAGCAATTGGAATCGATCATATGAGATTCCGTATTTGAAAATAGCACACCATTCGTTGCGATCCGGCACTGTAAAGGTCGAGCTCATCAATAACTTGGTCATAGTTGTGGTAATCATCAGTCCGTAGATAGAGAAAATTTGACCTTCTTCTCCTATCTAACCCAAGAGTCAGATTTCAACATTTGTAAACTCAACGCAGAGTCTGCGAAATCTCCGACAAAAAACTTCCATTTCCGGCGAACGGAAACAGAGACAAACACGGTGGCTGAAGTTTAAAATCTATTTAACCGGATTTCGCTTCGGTTTTGGTTCGGTTTTCCGGTTTAAATTTTGTTTGGGATAAATAAATACAAATAAAACAAAATCGGAGATCTATAGATGGGCTTTTTATGGGCCCATTCGTAACCAAACCAAAACTGAATCGTAAACCCTAGATTTTTTTTTTAAAATTTCCAATACTCTCTCCTCTTTCATTTTCAGAACGTCTAGGGTTTTCTGTAAATCTCCTTTTTTTCCCTTCGCAACACTGATCGAGCTCATTTCCTCTTAAATCGAATCCGATCTTCGAGCTCTCGGTTTTAGTAAAAAAATGGCGGCGGTAACGGCACCCATGGCATCGAGACCCCGCGCATCGAAGGCGGAATCGTTCGTAGACAACAAACGGAAAGAAGATGTCCGTCTCTCCAACATCAACTCTGGTCGCGCCGTCGCGGACGCCGTTCGTACGAGTCTGGGTCCGAAAGGTATGGACAAGATGATTTCGACGGCGAGCGGTGAGGTTATCATCACTAACGATGGAGCTACGATCTTAAACAAGATGGAGGTTTTGCAGCCAGCGGCGAAGATGTTAGTCGAGCTTTCTAAATCGCAGGATTCAGCCGCCGGAGATGGGACAACCACGGTGGTTGTAATCGCCGGTGCGCTTCTTAAGCAGTGCCAAACGCTTCTTTTGGCCGGGATCCACCCTACTGTGATTTCAGATGCGCTTCACAAAGCTGCTGGGAAGTCTGTTGATATCCTTACCGCCATGGCTGTTCCGGTAGAGCTCACTGACCGTGATTCGCTTGTCAAATCGGCAAGCACTTCGCTTAACAGTAAGGTCGTTAGCCAGTACTCTACTTTACTTGCTCCTTTAGCTGTAGATGCGGTTCTCTCTGTTATAGATCCGGAAAAGCCAGAGATTGTTGATTTGCGTGATATCAAGATTGTTAAGAAGCTTGGTGGTACTGTGGATGATACACATACTGTGAAAGGTTTGGTTTTTGACAAGAAGGTGAGCCATGCCGCTGGTGGGCCAACTCGTATGGAGAATGCTAAGATCGCTGTGATTCAGTTCCAGATCTCGCCTCCGAAAACTGACATCGAGCAGAGTATTGTTGTCTCTGATTACACTCAGATGGATAGGATCTTGAAAGAAGAGAGGAACTACATCTTGGGGATGATTAAAAAGATCAAAGCAAGTGGTTGCAATGTTTTGCTGATCCAGAAGAGTATTTTGAGGGATGCTGTGACTGATCTCTCGCTTCACTACTTGGCCAAAGCTAAAATCATGGTCATCAAGGATGTTGAGAGAGATGAGATTGAATTCATCACTAAGACTTTGAACTGTCTGCCAATTGCCAATATTGAGCATTTCAGAGCTGAGAAGCTTGGTCATGCTGATCTTGTCGAGGAAGCCTCCCTTGGAGATGGAAAGATTTTGAAGATCACTGGAATCAAAGACATGGGGAGAACTACCTCTGTTCTTGTTCGTGGATCCAACCAGCTGGTTCTGGATGAAGCTGAGAGGAGTCTACACGATGCATTATGTGTCGTCAGGTGTTTGGTTAGCAAGAGGTTCTTGATTGCAGGAGGTGGTGCACCGGAGATTGAGCTCTCGAGGCAGCTTGGTGCTTGGGCTAAGGTGCTCCATGGGATGGAAGGTTACTGTGTGAAGTCTTTCGCTGAAGCTCTCGAGGTTATTCCTTACACGTTGGCTGAGAATGCAGGGTTGAACCCGATTGCCATCGTCACTGAACTCAGGAACAAGCATGCTCAAGGGGAAATCAACTCCGGAATCAATGTGCGAAAAGGTCAGATCACTAATATCTTAGAGGAAAACGTGGTTCAGCCCCTACTTGTGAGCACCAGTGCGATCACTCTTGCAACTGAATGCGTAAGGATGATTTTGAAGATCGATGACATCGTTACCGTGAGGTAGTGTGGTAGTTTCACTCAAAACAGGTCGGAGGACATTTCTATTATTCTATCTAAGCTTTGTTTCTTATTTTTGTGTTTTGCGTTTGCACAATGGTTGAACTTAGAACCCTTTTTGCTAAGTGGTCTTATTTGTGGTTTTAGTGCGAGTTTGTTTCTTTCTAGTGACTGGATATCAAGGATTTCTGTTTTTTGTTTCATATGTTGATTATTTCGGTTTATAAAGGTAAAATGGTAGGAGCAGAATCAGAATCTTAATTACTGGGGGCTCAAATGTTTGATTATGGGTCACAGAATTAGTAGCCTATCTGGAAAATCTTAGACTGGGACTCAAATGTTTGGTTATGGGTCACGAAAGTATGACAGTACACAAGTGCATGAACATGAGTTTCTCCAGCTCATTGGTCTGTCTCCAACCAGACCAGATCAGAACTTAAATTGTACTATTTGCTCTTGTAGGCAACTTTATCATCTTTTCAATTATTCATAGAATTTATTGCAACCCAATTTTGATTACAACTCAAAAGTAAACGACTAGAATATCCACTGTATGAGAGACCCCACTACGGAGCCTGTGTATTGGCCAAGTTCTGGTGTGTGTATGTACAGACAAATATTGCGTTGTGTTTGCAAAAGTGTAAACTCTTACACAGTAGATTCAGAATTACCATCCTTCTTGTGTTGTTCCTCAAGAAGATGTTTGGTTAGTGACTCTGGATCTTGTTGAATCGTCTCTTCAAGCACCTGTTTTCTTTCTTCGTTTTTGCCCCAAAGGACTAAGTAGAGCCCCAACATTATGAACACTGCACCAACAATACTGTAAAGCAAAGATTGAATTTAGATCGAGCAACCGAAAGGAGAAAAACCCGATGATCTCATTTCCAATGTGTTTACCTCCCGGAGTATAACTGATCGCCAAGAATAAGAAACGCCATTGCAGCAACAAGAAGTGTCTGGAGAGGCTGGAAGACTGCGACAAAGACAGGACCGCCTTTGTAGATACACCATGTCTGAAGATAAACCACCAACCCTGACGCTATGATTCCCTGTATGTGTGACCAACCAAAGATTCATTTAGCTAACTTCATCGATTTAGATCAAGGAAGGAAAGAGAGAGTGAGAGTGTGTGCGCGCTTACTGCGTATAGGATGGTGAAGAGCTCTTCCCAAGAGACAATGATCCAGTTATTGATATCAGTTTCCACAAACAAAGCAATGACCAGAAATTGAACCAGACCGAAGAAACATGTGAACGATGTTAGAGTCAGCTTTGCTGGGTACTTCTTTAGGACAGGAGCTTGAAGAACCATCCAACCAGCCCATGACAGACAATGTCCCATAAGGTATAACCATCCGAGTGTCCAATTCTGCGATTTGTTAGATCCGATCTCCTCTTCCTCGTTCATGTTAAGGCTCTTGTGCAAAACCGGAAATCCTCTGTACAGTGTGATCACTGTGGCTCCACCAATGCTCACTAAGGTTCCCAAAACTTTAGCCACACCGTGTTTCCTAACCAGGTCTATGTGCTCTAACCTTGATTCCAACAAGAAGATCAGCGTTAGACGCACCGTTAAATCGCTATTTCCATAAAAGAAGTTGTTAGGTATACCTTAGGACACAGGCCATGATGAAAGTGATGGCAGGAACAGAGTTTTGCATTGCGGAAGCAAATGTTGGAGTTGAGTAGTAGAGTCCCAGTAGGTAGAATCCTTGGTTCGCTGTGATTCTAATGTTCAACACACAAACAGAGATTCAAAATTATAAGCAATGATTTAGGACTAAGGAATCAAATAGTGATCAAAAGAAGAAAGTTCTGGTCGTCTTTTGTTCTGCTCTTACCCAATGAGTGCCAAGAGGAAGAACTGAACGAGTAAAGAGATTGTGAGTGGAGGCCTTTCCTTTCTGTTGAAACACAAAGACATCAAAGGACAAACTTTCTGAAGTTAAAGGAACAAACTCTCTGAATCTACCCAAGAAATCCATATGAGGCAAGAAAGTAAACAAACAAACAAACCCTTTTAATGTCAAAAGGGTTAGATCACATGATTCTGAGAAGAGTAAGGACTTACCTCTCGAGGAAGTAAGCGAAAGGACCTATGAGGAGTAGGGCAAGGAGATTCCTATAAACAGGGTACACAACTTTGCTAACACCAATGTTAAGAGCAACTCTTGAGACAATGTGAAAGCCTGCAAAACAGAACTGAAGTGTGATCAATGCCACCACAAG